AGGGGAGATGTTCCCAGGCTCCCTGGTGTCCTTACACCCTGAGGGGGCTGCCCCAAGGCTAAGTCCTGTATTTACACACTGGGAGAGCTGTCCCAGGCCAGTAGCTGTCCTCAGGCTAGGAGCTGTTTTCAGCTCACACACTGGTGCCTAATGCTGTCAGGGATTTGCTGCTCGTAGTGTCTGAGTGTTACCTCTAGGTCCCTGTTGTCTACATCCTCTCTACTCCACTGAACACCATGGTGACAGCGAGCTCTCTGCATAAGCACCCCTTAGTACAAGAAGCTTGGGGTGCCTATGTGCCAATAACCTACCCCATACCTCCCATGGCATAGCCATCAGGGCCAGCACCTATGATATGACAGCCACAGGGTGCTGCTGGGAATCTGTGTGGCCCTGTTCTGACATGATCACTAGTACTTTCCACCCCAACCCTGTATCCAGGGCCTCACTTCCTGGCCTTCCCCTCTATATGGGAATCTGTCCCTGCTGGCAGAGATGGCCAATCTGCTGGAAGAGGAAGCCAGCTATGAACACAGAGAGGAAGCAGTACGAACTCTCACTTTCAGATGAGATCAGGCATAGCACACTTGAGTGGTGTGGCCACAGACTAAAATGGCCACTTTCAAACAGTTACTTCCTAACAGAGCTGAATTCAGAACCCTGGAATGCTTGTCAAAGTTTATCTCAATTTGTTTTAAATCCCCAAACCAGTCACCAAGTTCCATTTTCCTCATGTTCTGCCTGGTTAGCAGAGAAGGAGAGCTCTACTGGCATACAGCAGGACCCCACTGGCCCTAGCCCTGCCGCATCACACCTGGCACATCTCATCTGCCTGTCTGTAGAGTGGAGTGGTTGTGTCTACTCCACAGATGGAAGAGGATTAGAAAGAGTGAAAACATGAAACCCAGGGAGGCCAGGCAGCTGTGCCAGTGAACTCAGGCCACTCCATGGCTATCATCCCATTGTCTAGGGCTCCACAATCGAGTGGACAGAAATACATGGACTCTCTGGGCATTGATCAAGCCTTTGTTTTTCTCCAGGCTGGCAAAGGCTGCAGGTGCTGCCAGTGGAGAAGCTGTGGTGTGGGCTAGACCAGGCAGAGCAGAATGGGAGCAGCTGTGTCTGCTCTGCTCACTTCTTTTCCTTTGGAAGGTTCCTAAACCCACAGAGACAGCATCGTCTACCGAGGCCCCAGGCAGCACCCACCTGCACGGGATGGCTGACTTCCTGTGAGATCCCTTAGTGTTGCACCGGCTGGTTTTGCACGCTCATGGCTTCTGTGAACTGAATGCTGTGGGCACAGGCTTCTAACAGGAACCTGTCATCGCCACAGCTGGACGTCACAGTACACATGGGGCATTTCCTCTTCCCCGAGAGCAGGA